TGTTGTTTCATGAAATTCTTCTGTGTCTTCCAATTCCTGTTGATACAGTGACTCAGTATATTCCTTCCATCTTCTTTTAATACTTCCGGGATCATACTGAATAAAAAAATTAGTGAAGCTGGACTATGTGAAGGCTAATGTAACATCAGGATTGGAGGAAGACTCATCAACAACCTGTGTTATGCAGACGATACAACCTTGTTGGCTGAAAGTGAAGACAACTTGAAACATTTGCTACAGAAGATCAAAGACTGGGGAGCTCTGGTGGCCTACTGGCAAGAAGCTGTACTGCAATCCCAAAGGTACACAGTTAAAATCCACCAGATGCTCTGCCGGAGAAGGAGGGACAGTTTCCTCCTGTACCAGTCAGATCTGATTTGATGGTACATGCACAAGAAATAATAAAATTAATTAATTAATTAATAAAAAAAGAAGATCAAAGACTACAGCCTTTACTATGGATTGCATCTAAGCATCAAGAAAAGGAAATTCCTCACTTGGCCAATAACATTATAGATAGGGAAAGGATAATAATTGTCAATGACTTCATCTTGCTTGGATCTATAACCAACACATAGCAACCGTCAAGAAATCAAAGGCACATTTTACTGGGAAAATATGTTGTCAAGGACCTCTCCAAAGTGCCAAAGAGCAAGGATTTCAGTTTAGAGACCAATGTGCACCTTACCCAAGCTTTTGGTCTTTTCAGTTGCTTCCTATGCATCTGAAAGTTCGACAATGAATAAGGATGACAAGAGTATAATCACTTCCTTCGAGTTGTGATGTTGGAAAAGAGTGCTCAATATCCCATGGGCTTCCAAAAGAATAGACAAGTCTGTCTTGGAGGAAATGCAGCCAGGATGCACGTTGGAGGCAGGGATGGTGACAATTTGTCTCATATACCTTGGACACATTGTCAGGAGGCACCAGTCTTTGAAAAAAGACATCATGCTTGGAAAGGTGGAGAATTAGAGAAACAGAGAAGGACTCTCAACAAGATGAATGATATAGTGACTGTAACAAATATAGGATTGTGAAGATGGCACATGATAGGGATACATTCAGATTTATTGTTCATAGGTGTTGTAGTTGACTTGATAACACCTAACAATTGCAACAACCCTAGGGTAGCAACTTCACAGGACCAGTGGTGCAAGTAGAGTTAGGAGCTCTGGGACAGACCACATTCAGGGCCATTGTGGAAACTATTACCAGTTGGAAAGGAAGGGTCCAGCCTCAGAGGAGTTGCTCTTGTTGTTATGTGCCATAGAGTTGACTGCAACTCATAAAGACTCCTACGAACCCTGCCCCTATCCTGAGCCAATCTCATTGTCTCTGACTAACCTATTTCCATTACCCCAGTTACTATGTCAATTCATCACATTTGGGGTCTTCCTCTCCTTTTCTGTCTTTTCTTCCTTCCAAGGATGATGCCCTTCTCCAAGGACTGGTCTCTCCTGGCAACATGCCCAAAGTATGTCAGATGGTGATTCAAAATTCTTTCATCTAACTCACAACTTGGTTTCACCCTCTCTTCTGATTTAGTTTTCACTTCAAAAGAGGAGAAAGATCCAAAACTTCTTGGG